TCCATAAGTTGTCCATTTTAATTAAAAAAATAAAATAAATTTATTATATACTTTAATTAAATTTTAAATTTATAATTACAAATTTTATTTTAATTAAATTATTAATTATTTTAATCTTAATTTATAATTATTTGTATTATACCATGATTACTTTTATTAATATACTTTTTAATGGACACTTTGTCGGGATGGAAAAAGTAATAATTTGTAACTGAAAAAAACATATATATTTCATAAAAATTTATTGTTTTCTAAAAAATATCTAAAAATAACAAAATTAAATATTTAATACTTCTTCATATTCCGGAACTATCGAAAATTTTGATTTATGACAATATTTAACATAGTAAAATATAGTTAGTTAACTATAATGAGCTTGTATAGTATTATTATTATTATTATTATTATTATTATTATTTTATCTAGATGATCTTGTTGATAATTTAAAAATATTATTTAAATTTATAATGATTAATAAATTTGTTTTATATTTAAACTTAATAAATTAAAATGTTTAGTTATAAATAGTTTTAGTAGCAAAATACTTATGTCGAGTTAAAAATTAATTAAACTCGTAAGTTTAATCGCAATAATCATTTTCAATAGTAAAAAATTATATTTTGTTATGAATGAGGTCCAATTAAATTAATTTTTGTGTTATAGTTAAATTTCGTTATAATAAAATAATCTTAACAGCAAATGTAAAAATAAAATCAACCAATAACATAGGTAAAATATTGTTTCGGGTTTAAATTTTGAGTAAGATTTGAATAGTAAAAATTTTAAATTGAATAGCTATATGATATGATATAAACATGTATTAATGTAATATTTTAAATTAAAAATTATTTTTTCAGTATAATATAAAATTTTTAAAAAAATAAAAATTTGATTTAATATATATATACCTTTTAAAAATGTTCAATGAATAATAAAAAATATTGTAAAATTTGTGGAAAGAACATCCCCTGACTGAATTCATAGATTTACTTAATCCAATCACAAAAAATACAAAATAAAAAACTCCATCAATAATACATTGTAAAATATTGTAGAACATAATCTACTCTGGAGTTGGCAGTTGCTTTGAAAATGCAAAATTGCTGTCTGAACTTATCTCATAATAATTCAGCTGTGTGCAAAGGTTTTAAAAAATAAAAAGTATTGTTTGTTTTTAATTTGAGTTATATATAGATGTTAATGTTAGAAATTATGTTAATAATGTAAAAGTTTATAGTTTATATTAAATTATTAATTTTTGTAAAAAAAAAAATATATATATGTATTATATGTATTAAAAATCATGTTAAGAAAAAATTTTATTTAATGAACAAAGTCAAAATTTCGGTGTTAACCCAATTAAATCAGTATGAAATTAATTTGATCGGAGCAGCATATCAAGTAAAGGTAATATCTTATAACACAGATAATGAATAACACAGACATATATTATGTTATGCAATAATGAATGTAATATTCCCCCCGTCTATTAGTAGATTTTTTATTTGACTTTTGCATGCGAATTAAGATAAATATTATTTTATAAGTGTAATAAAGTAGTGTAATATTTATTTTACTATTGACATTATCGTAAAGTAATATAAAAAATAAATAATATGAGTATTTTGATATTTAATTGAAATTTATATTTATCAACAAGAAAATGACATTTTTTTATTTAGACATATTAAGATTGTAAAAAATGAAAAAATTTAGTAATGGACGGCGGGAGTGTTACAGTTCCATTTTTAGTTAGGAACCTTAAAAATAACAAATATTACGGATCAATTTTTAGTTAGGAACCTTAAAAATAACAAATTTATTTTGTAAAAATGTTGGGGTAACATAGATTTTTCTTCATGTTATAAGACTATTGTCTGTTGGTATTAGAAGGATGGTAATAAAAGGTGTTGAGAATGTTTGCTAGAAAACATATTTTTATTAAAAAAAATTGATAAAAAAATAAATAATTGATGATATTTTTGAAATTTTAATTATAAATTAAAGAGATGAGAAGTGAGAAATTAATAAAAATCATGACATTTAAAATAAAATATTAACTTATTAATTTTTTTAAAAATGGGTAATAAAATAAATTTAGCTATAAACTAAAAAAAAATAAAAATAAATTTAACGGAATGAACGAAAAGTATATATCCTATTAAATTTTTTTTAAAAAAAACCATATATCTATTTATTTTTATGTAATTAAATCGACGCACATAGAGTTTGAATTTATTCAAGCAATTACACTGTATTATTAATCGTGGAAAAACCAAATTAGAAAATAAAAATAAAAATAAAAATAAAAATAAAATAAAATAAAATAAAATACGGACACTCTTGGTGGAAGATAGAAACGTGAAGTTTGTTGAGGCAGAAAGTCAAAGAAGGGGGCGGAAAAACATGTTCACTACAGTCTTCACGATTCTGACAATCTTACGTCATTTTCCCTATTTATTTATTAATATTTATTATTATTATTATTAAAAATATATATACTACAATTCATTTATCAGCATTCATGCGATAGTTAAAATTAACCAGCAATTTAATTTAATTCATTTTAGTTGGATAAGATGCAAAATCACGCAACAAATACCACTCTAATTTGCTGTTTTCAACCACCAATAAAAAGTAAAATCTGAAATAAATTCGAATTATCGAAAATTTTTAAATACCGTACGAAATGTAAGAAAAATAAAAGCAAACTGTTACGGAAATTTCCAGGAAATCAAGATGAGACAACAGAGACAAAAGAACACAAGAATCTACGTCTAGGGCGCTGCAAAGACAGAAATTTTATTATAAAGTACACAATGTTAAAATGAGAATACATGGACCTAAGCCTTTGACAATAATATCCAAATCATATCTCTAAAATCTAAAATATAATATCCAAACCATATCCCTAGATTTTATGATATAATCAGGCTTCATATCCCAACACAAACTGATACTGAAGAGAAATTAAAGATGATCCCCAAAGCGAATTTTCACTTAGATTGATGCTGACTAAAGATGCACTCTGTCGAATGCGAACTGCTTGTTATATATATGTTCTATAAATCAGTTATCGGATCGTGTGCGCAGTCGGTTGTAACTAACGGAAAACCCCCTCGTGGTTGCAACCGCCTGAAGAACCGTCTTCGGTTATGTTTCGTGCTATCAACCGACCAGACCAGTCGACTGATCAACAGACCAATCAAGCGACTGACCAACCGACCAATCAAACGACCAACCCGTTTCTTCAATGACGTCCGAAGGCCTATTTTCTTTTTGGGTTTATCTGTGGGTCCAAACGTTAGAATTCAGTTATAGGCCCAATAAAACCCTAGAATATTTTAATATATAACAGTTAGAGTATAATAAACTGAAATTTCTATTTTAGTCGTAAAAGTACATACATAATTTATAGTGATATATAAATTGTCTAAGACAAGAATCTCACGAATCTTTTAAATAAGATAACTATTATAAATATAATATATTACTTCTAAATATATTTTAACAATAATTATTAATATATATATATATATATATCAAGACAATTGTGTGTAATTAATATAATTTGTTTTTTTTGTCGTTGTTGGATGACCGACATCGGCTTCCTCACACATTCCTCCTTCCTGTCTTAATTGTATCTTATCTCTTAACAATTTTTAATATTATTCTTTTTAACTATAAATGTTCAATATATATAATTTTGAGTTGACTTGTGCAAATTAAAGGCTGGTTTAAATAGAAACTTTTAAAATTTATGATAATAATAAAAATATTACTCTCTCCGTTCCAGATATCGTATATACTACAACGTAGACATTGTATTTTAGAAGGGGTGTAATTAGTAGATAATTAAGAATGTATTAGTAAAATAATTATCCTATAATATAAATAATTATAAATTAAGATTAAAATAACTAATTAATTTAATTAAAATTTAAAATTTAAAATGAGATTAAAGTGTGTAATCATTTTTAAAAAAAGAAAAGTGACATGCTATGTGGGACGGACAGAAACGGCAACATGGACATAGTATCTGGAACGAAGAGAGTAATATTTAATATATAATTTTACTATAAAAGAAGAAAAATACTCTATTTATCTTGATATTTTTTTTGAAAAAAATTATTATTATTAATAAATGTCAAAAGTTTAAAAATATTTGTAAGTTTCATCAGTAGAATTTAAATAAACTTTACTAATAATTTATTTTTATTTAAAATATATACCAGTTTATAAAAAATTTTGTGTATTATACTCTCTTCATATTATGACATGATTAGCGTAGTCGTCAAGGTTTAAAATAAGTGTGATTAATAAATAATTAAAAAATATATTAATAAAATTAATTGTAATATAATACAAATAATTAGAATTTATAAAAATTATAAATTATACAATAAAATACAATTAAAATATATAATTCTTTAAAAACAAAAGATAACATAAAATATAGGAAAAACAAAAATACAAAATATACAATTATATATAGAACGAAGTAAATATCAAATACTTTCCTCATCCCGAGGTAGATGACTGGTTTGTAAATTACTCAATATTTTAGATAACGTAAATTAATTAATCGTTAATAATAAATTATGATATTATTATATTATTTTTTTATTTGAGCAGTACTATAGTATTTTAAATTTGTGTAGCCTTATATAATATAAATAAATAAATATATTTATTAATCTATTATTACCATAAATTAATTTTATAAAAGATAAAATAAATTAAATATATGTAAAAATATTTTTTAATTAAAAAATAAAAATAAAATTTTTTAAATAAGTCCTTACATGTAAAAAGTTAAAATTTTAATTAAATTAATTTTATACTTATTTTGTTAAATTATTTTTTCTTTTTTCTTTTTTCCTTTTTCATTACAAACATGATTGAGGTTAGGGGCAGCTGGTGAGAGTACCTGAGGCGGCCGCTAAAGACATGAAAATTATTATTAAAATTAAAAATTAATCATAAAAAACTGTTGTACGTCACAACAAATATGGTCAAACCCAAACTCCTAATAATTCTTCTTTCATTCCATTCCATCCACCGCTAAATTGCACCTCCGATGGCGGCGCCCACCGTCTTCCTCCTCCTAACCCTCATCTCCGCCGCCGTCTCCGACGACCTCCACTCTCTCCTATCCATCAAATCCGCCCTAGGCGACTCCAACCACACGCTCTTCTCCTCCTGGCAATCCGATTCCCCAATCTGTACCTTCCAGGGGATCACCTGCAACGCCGCCGGCGACGTCGCCGGAATCGACCTCACTTACAGGAACATCTCCGGCGAGCTTCCGGTGGCCGCTATTTGCGAAATTAAGTCTCTGGAAACTCTCGCTTTAGGGTTCAACACGCTGCACGGCCGTGTTACGAACGATTTGAATAACTGTTTTTCGCTTAAGTACTTGGATTTGGGAAACAATTTCTTCTCCGGCGAGTTCCCCGACATATCCTCCGTCGCCGGACTGGTTTCCCTCCACCTGAATAACAGCGGATTCTCGGGGACTTTCCCATGGAATTCTCTCCGGAACATGTCCGATCTTCAGGCGTTGAGCTTAGGCGACAATCCGTTCCTCCGGTCGCCGTTCCCGGCGGCGATTCTGAACCTGACGAAGCTGAATTGGCTCTACCTGACCAATTGCAGTATCGAAGGGACGATTCCAGAAGAAATTGGGAATTTGGTCGACCTGGTTAACCTAGAACTGGCCGATAATTTCCTCTCCGGCGAAATTCCGGCGGGGATCACCAAACTCCGGCGTCTATGGCAGCTGGAGCTCTTCAGCAACGATTTGACCGGCGAATTGCCGCCGGGATTCGGGAATTTGATCAATCTCGAGTTTTTCGATGCTTCCAACAACAGTCTTCGTGGAAACCTATCCGAAATCCGATTCCTGAACAAGTTGCAGAGCTTGCAGCTCTACAAGAACAACTTTTCGGGCGAGGTCCCCGGCGAGCTCGGAAACTTCAAGCAGCTCGTGAATTTGTCTCTCTATATTAATAATCTGACAGGGCAGCTGCCGGAGAAGCTAGGTTCTTGGTCGGAATTCAATTTCATAGACGTATCGGAGAATTCTCTGACGGGGCCAATCCCGCCGGAGATGTGCAAGAAGGGGAAGATGATGAAGCTGCTGATACTGCAGAACAAGTTCACCGGAGGGATACCGAAAAGTTACTCCGGCTGCCGGGAATTGATCAGGTTTCGGGTGAACGACAACGGCCTGTCGGGGGCGATCCCCGCCGGAATTTGGGGGCTGCCGAACCTCCAAATCCTCGACCTTTCTGGCAATGATTTCGAAGGTCCGATCGAGCCGGAAATCGGCAATGCTGCGTCATTGGGACAGCTGTATCTAGCCAACAATAGATTTTCCGGCGAACTGCCGCCGGCGATCACGAATGCAACGTCTCTCTGGTCGATCGATTTGCAGAGCAATCGGTTTACCGGCGAGATTCCGGCGACCATCGGCGGTTTGGATCAGCTTTCTACCATTCAGCTACAGGGGAACGAATTCTCCGGCTCGATACCGGATTCATTAGCCTCTTGCCGATCCCTGAACGAGATTAATTTCGCCGGAAACCGCCTCACCGGCGTGATTCCGGCGTCGCTCGGCTCGTTGCCGACGCTTAATTTCTTGAACTTGTCGAGGAATCGGCTTTCCGGGCCGATTCCGGGGGCCCTATCCTCTTTGAGGTTAAACCTACTCGATCTTTCCGACAATCGGTTAACCGGACCGATCCCGAATTCCCTTGCCAGCGAGGCGAGTAACGGCAGTTTCGCGGGGAATAGTGCGCTTTGCAGCGGGAGTATCCGAGGATTCCGGCGATGCTCGCCGGATTCCGGCATGCCGGGGCACCTCCGGGCGATCTTGCTCTGCCTGTTGGTGGCGTCGGTCGTCATGCTTATTTCAGTCTCGACGTTTTGCTACGTGAAGAAGAAGAGCGAATGCGCCGGCGAACGGTCACTAAAAGACGGGTCGTGGGATGTGAAGTCGTTCCATATCTTGACCTTCTCGGAGGACGACATTCTCGACTCGATCAAGCCGGAGAATTTGATCGGAAAAGGCGGCTCCGGGAATGTGTACCGGGCAGTCGTCGGGAACGGGAAGGAATTCGCCGTGAAACACATTTGGCACGCGGACGAATACGCCGCGGGGCGTAAGAACATCGGTAGCTCGACGCCAATCCTCGCCCGGCCGGCCCGGACGAACAAGTCGCGGGAATTCGACGCCGAGGTGCAGACGTTAAGCTCTATACGACACATAAATGTCGTGAAGCTCTACTGCAGCATCATCAGCGACGAATCGAGCTTGTTGGTTTACGAGTACATGCCGAACGGAAGCTTATGGGACCGACTCCACACGTGCAAGAAATTACCGCTCGACTGGCAATCGCGGTATGACATCGCCGTCGGGGCGGCGCAAGGGCTCGAGTACCTACACCATGGGTGCGACCGCCCGGTGATCCACCGCGACGTAAAATCAAGCAACATTTTATTGGACGAGGACCTAAAGCCGCGGATCGCGGATTTCGGCCTCGCGAAGATTCTCCAAGCCGACGTGTCGAAAGAGTCGACGCAAGTCGTGGCGGGCACGCACGGGTATATCGCTCCCGAGTACGCCTATTCAAGCAAGGCGAGCGAGAAGGGCGACGTGTATAGCTTTGGCGTGGTGTTGTTGGAGCTCGTGACGGGACGGCGGCCGATCGAGCCGGAGTTCGGGGAGAGTAAGGATATAGTGGAGTGGGTGAACAGTAATCTTAAGAGTAAGGACAGAGTGATGAACATGGTCGTGGACAGGGTATTGGACGAGGTCGAGAAAGGGGAGGCCTTAAAGGTGTTGAGGGTCGGGATTTTGTGCACGGCTCGGAATCCGTCGGTGAGGCCGACGATGAAGAGCGTCGTGCAAATGCTCGTCGAGGCGCGCCCGTGTCGGATGGTCACGATCGTTTTCGGGAAAGACAAGGAAGAGTTCTCATGCAAAGCAGATAGCCAGTGAGCGAGCAGAGTGCGTGTTATTTCGTAGGTTTAAGGTACCGTTTAGATGAAACGAGAGTTGTTGTAAGCATAGCGTGTGTAGAGTTTTGGAGTCGATCGTTTGTTATTTTAGATTGTAATGTTGAATAATGTAATAAATATGCTGAAGTATGTGAAATATTAGTGTTATATTACTTGCGTACTAAAAATTTATGTCAATTTGATCAGACACATACTTTTTAAAAATAGTTAAATACCAAAAAATCGAGAATATTGTTTTATAACAATAAATAAATAAAATCCTAAAATTGGATAATATAGGGAGTTGTAAATCGTCGAGCTATAGCATAAATGTGTTCATTTTTTGTTGAATGTTAATATGTCGAGCGATGAAACTATGAAGAAATGTTACGACTTATGAATATATAGTAAATGTATATATTTATTTTTGTTTAGAATTGAAATTAATAACGATATTTTTTATTTAAAAAAAAAAAATACACTCTAAATATCAATTGGGCCGAAAGTCTAATCATGTGACATAAAAATATAGTCGAGCTCGTGAGATATGGTGGTTGAGGATCTATCAAATTTTTGCTAATATTTTTACCTATGGATCTTATAACACATAATTAATCTAAAGTAGCTTTCCTAGTTGGTCTGATTTACAAACTAATCACAATAATATTAATAAAAAATATCGAATAATTTGATAATTACATCGAGGAGAAAAAAAAAACATCTCTCTGGAAAATGAACATGTCCCATTAGTATCTTTGATTCGTAGTGTAATAGTTTTAAAGATAAAACGACATTTATCTGCCAAACAGATGAGATCCTTTTATTTTGAAGTTCCAACAAACTAAAATAAAAGAAAATAAAATAATTTGTGAATGTAAAATGAACGAAAGATTTTCCGAAAAACTCGCCAAAGGAAGAAAGATTAGAGAATACCATTGTGTTTCTTTTGTTTTTTCTTACACATTTTTTCAAAAAAATCAAAATATTACACATATTCATTATTTTTATATTAATTACACAATTATCTATACTTTATATACAAATAATAGATATATTTTGGGTTGTATAATGTTATTTTATCTGTCATCCAAATTTATTCTTTTTTTTTATTATTATCATCTAACTTTTTTTTTAATAAAAAATACCATTTTTTGTATTTTTTCATTACCGTAAAAAAGTAAAAGTTTATGGAGTATTTTTATTTACTTATTCTTAGAATTTGTATTTGATCAAATGAACACACAGTTGAACGAAGAATGAAATATATTTGTATCAATATTGAATAGTTTATATTTAAAATTAATAATATATAGATATATATTATAACAAAATATATCTTAGTGGACTGATTAAGGTGATAATATAAGACAGTAACATGTATGCAATAGATGATAATATGATATTTTCTATGTCCCATATATTTTGTCTATTATATTGTAGATATAGATTTTAGAAAGACATTATTAGTAAATAATTAAAAAATATATTAGTAAAAATAATTGTAATATATACAAATAATTATATATTAAATTTAAAATAAAAAAATTATAGATTATAAATTTAAAATGAAATTAAAATGTATTATAATTTTGTGTATATATTATTGTTAGATAAAATTGACGTCTCACTTAAAAATTTAAATTTAAAAAGATACTCAGATCGCGCTCGAAATATAGCGAGTACGAATTTTCATTTTATAAAAAATATGATGGTCACTTGAAAGTTGAAAAAAAATGCAAACTCTAGGCTCCGTCTACACATTAGACTTTTGATAATTTTTGGGTTTTGAAAATTTAAAAATAATAATAAAAAATATTCTATCCGTCCAAATATAAAATAATTTTTTTTTTTATCATTTTCGTCTGTTTCATTTCAAAGTATTCTTTTTCTTTTTTAATTAAACTAATCCTACACTAATATTAAAATACATTCTAATTTTTATTTAAATTACAAAAATATCATTACACATACAATTATTTTTAACATAAAATCAAAAGAGCAAAAATGTTAAAATATCTTTCAAATGGGACCAAGTGAGTATATATTTAATGTACTCCCTCCGTCACATTGAAAGGTTGTCATTTTCCATTTTCGTCTGTCCCAAAACAAGATTACCATTTTCTAATTTAATAATTGTACTACCTACCTAACATAATAAATATCTTTCCAACTTACACTGTTTTACACAAATGTCATTACTTTTATATTATAGGGACATTTTTTTTCGTATTTTTCACTACAACTCATTATAATACTAATATTCAAAATTTACGTGCAAAACGTAAACGGCAACCTTCCACCGGAACGGAGGGAGTAATATTTTTAAAAATAGAATAATACCAAAAACCTCGAAAATTATTGTGTAAAAAAGATGATATTATAAACATTTTGGAAATTCGACTAGGATAATATCAGCACCTATACTTATCTTCAAAATTTCAAACAACATCCAATAGTTATTGCAATTTTTATTTTATTTTATTTTATTTTATTAATTTCGAAAAGTAAAAGTTGTATGATTGGGAAGAATCCATCATGGAATTTACATAAAAGATGGATATCAATTGGCGCAGATGCTATTTCAGATACTGACTTTTGAGTGGGGGATATCATTTATATATATAACAATCAATTTCCAAAAATACATCTACAAATAAAAATTAAAATAAAATAAAATAAAAAGTTCTTTATTCAAAGAATAACATAATCCTCACCACAGATCCTCTCCCCTTTTCTTACATCAACATATACATACATACATATATATATATATATTGATATTGCAGTTCTTGATCATCTTCAACATCGTTCATTAATGGCTTCCAGGGCCCTGTCCTTCCTCATCTTCCTGGCCCTGTCTTGCCGGGGAGAAACAGACCACAATCCACCCACCCCACCTCAATTCTTCGACCTCATCAAGAAATCCATGTCGGGAAACTTCCTGTCCCAATGGACCTCCCAAATCCATTACTGCAACTTCTCCGGTGTCGCCTGCGACCGCCGCCGCCGCGTCCTCCGCCTCGACATCGCCGGAAATTCCCTGTCCGGCCACTTCCCCGCCGGCGTTTGCTCCTACCTCCCCACCCTCCGCGTCCTCCGCCTCGGCCACAACTCCTTCTCCGGCGAATTCCCTGCCGGCGTCGCCACCGGCTGCTCCTCCCTGGAAGAGCTCAGCCTCACTTCCTTACACCTCACCGGCCCACTCCCGGACCTCTCCCCCCTCAAATCCTTACAGGTCCTGGACCTCTCTTACAACCAATTCTCCGGCGGCTTCCCCGTCTCCGTCGCCAATTTGTCCGATCTCCGGCGACTGAACATGAACGAAAACGATGGATTTCAGTTTTGGGAGCTGCCAGAGACCTTTTTACAGCTTACGAAACTCGAATCGATGATCCTGTCGACTTGTAATATCCGGGGAACAATTCCAGGCTTCATCGGAAACATGACTTCTTTAATCGATCTCGAGCTCGCCGGAAACTTCCTGTCGGGGCGGCTCCCGCCGGAGCTCGGCCTGTTGCGGAATCTCGAAACGCTCGAGCTTTACTACAACATGGAGCTCGCCGGAGAAATTCCAGGCGAGATCGGAAACCTGACAGGCCTGAAAAATCTAGACATGTCGGTAAACCGATTCTCCGGTCGATTGCCAGAATCAATTTGCCGCCTCCCCCGGCTACAAGTCTTGCAGCTTTACAACAACAGCCTCGTCGGAGAGATTCCGGAAGTTCTCGCGAATTCGACAACGTTAGCGAATTTGTCGCTTTACGACAACTTCTTGACCGGAAAAATCCCGAATCTCGGAACGCTGTCGCCCCTGATCGGCCTCGATTTGTCGGGAAATCACCTGTCGGGAAATCTTCCCGATGGCCTGTGTCGTCGAGGCCGTCTTCGATTCCTCCTCGTTCTTCAAAATATGCTCACCGGCAAAATCCCGGAAATCTACGGCGAATGCAAGTCGATTTTCCGGTTCCGTATTAGCGACAACCGTTTCCACGGGAGGATCCCCGACGGCGTCCTGTCGCTTCCCGCCGCGACGATTATCGATCTGGGATACAATAACTTGACAGGCTCAATTTCTGGCAACATCCGCGGCGCGGAAACCTTGTCGGAGCTTTTCTTGCAGGGAAACCGGCTGTCAGGATCGATCCCACCGGAAATCGCCATGGCGGCAAAGCTCGTGAAAATCAATCTCAGCGGCAATCGTCTCTCCGGCCCGATTCCTTCGGACATCAGCAAGCTCGAACGCCTGAATCTTCTGTTCTTACAGGACAACCTCCTCGATTCGTCGATACCGGAATCGCTGTCCTCCCTGAAATCGCTCAACGTCCTTGATCTTTCCGGCAATTCCTTAACGGGCCAAGTCCCGGAATCCCTCGCCCGGTTGCTTCCGAACTCCCTCAACTTCTCCGACAACCGACTCTCCGGCCCAATCCCGGATTCGTTCGTAAAAGGGGGAGTTTTGGACAGTTTCCGGGGAAATCCAGGACTCTGTCTGCCGCCGCCGCAGGCGGCAGCAGCCTATTCAAACCCGCATTTCCCGGTCTGTCAGGGATTGTCGTCGAAGACGACACCGAACTGCATTTGGCTGATTGCGGTCGTTGTCGGGATACTGATAATTGGGGCGATTACCGTCGTCAAGAGCTGGTCGAGCCGGAAACGGGAAGCCGCGGAAACCGACGATCACAACACGTTATCATCATCGTACTTCTCGTACGACGTCAAGAGCTTCCACCGGGTGAGCTTCGACCAGCGCGAGATCATCGAGGCGATGGTTGAGAAGAACATCATCGGCTACGGCGGATCCGGGACTGTCTACAAGATCGAGCTCCACAACGGCGAAATCCTCGCCGTGAAAGAGCTCTGGTCGCGGCGGGGCGTGAAGGACCCGACGCCGCGCAACGACGACCGTCTCGTCGTCCTCGACCAGGAGATGAAGACAGAAGTCGAGACGCTTAGCGGCATCCGGCACAAGAACATCTTGAAGCTCTATTGCTACTACTCCGGCCTTGACTGCAGCCTCCTCGTCTACGAGTACATGTCGAACGGCAACCTTTGGGATGCCCTCCACGTCGGGAAGCTCGTACTTGATTGGCCGACGAGGTACCAAATTGCCGTCGGGATCGCGCAAGGCTTGGCCTACTTGCACCACGACCTAGTCCCGCCGATCGTCCACCGCGACATAAAGTCGACCAACGTATTGCTTGACGTCGACTACCAACCGAAAGTTGCCGACTTCGGGATCGCGAAAGTCCTCCGCGCCCGCGGATCGAAGGACTCATCCAACACCGTAATCGCCGGGACTTACGGATACTTAGCGCCCGGTCCGTAGCCATAAGTGATCGATACTTATAACTCGCTCTAATTTATCTCGTACATTTTAAAGATTCGATTTTTTTTTGCTGCGTAGAGTATGCGTATACTTCGAAGGCTACGACAAAATGCGACGTGTACAGCTTCGGGGTGGTGCTGACGGAGCTCGTGACGGGGAGAAAGCCGGTGGAGGCGGAGTTCGGGGAGAGCGAAAATATCGTATGTTGGGTTAGCGGAAAAACGTCGTCTCCGACGACAGATGGGCTCAAGGAGGTCGTCGATAAACGGGTCCTTTCGGGACCCGACGACGAGAAGGATATGATCAAGGTCCTCCGAGTGGCCATACGGTGCACGTGTCCGACGCCCGGCCTCCGGCCGGCGATGAACGAGGTGGTGCAGCTGCTGGCGGAGGCGGACCCTTGCCGGAGAGACGGCGGCGGTGGCGGTGGCGGGAAGTTGTGGATAAAAACTTGACAAACAAAGGGGTTACCAAATAAAGAAAGTAGAGCCATTTTAGGAATGGCAAGTACATATTGAGGAGGGTATTTACACTTTGGTATTTTGCTTTTGGCAATGTTATGCATGAGAATATTTTTGTATGAAATAAACCTCACTTTCACTTTAATTTGGAAGGGACTTTTTGTTTTGTAATTTGATTTGTCAACAATCGAAATAGAATCTTGGAAAGTAACTTAAAGCAAAAGTGGGCTATTCAGATTCTGGATTATTGTGGGGTCATTTTATAATATATATATATATATATATATTTTTAGTTAGTTAGTTACAAAAACTGCTGCCATTATTCTTAAAAAATGTATTAAATAGTCTCGTGATGTTATTACACTAAGACTCGTAATTGTGAGGTTATTTTCGTATTTTGTCTGTTATAGTCTAGTTTGATTTATCTTATTTTGCGGACTCTTATATTCAAATGAAAATTTATCCAAAAATATATATTTTTATAACAAACTGTGAATTTTCATATTATAAAAAAAAAAAATTAAATAAAATGAAATAGTGTATAAATCTTGCAAGTCAAATTAGACATTTCACGTGATAGACCTCGACTAAGAAAACACCTGCATAGTTTAGATCATTGATGCTAATATTAGATGATTTTTAATATATCATTTCATCTAAAAATTTAATTTTTTAATAACATACAAAATTCGTAAGGTCAAATCACATATATCCGCTTATGCGTAAGGTCAATTTTTTAATAATATGTATATATATATATTAAATGGGCATGAATCACGTATTGATAGATCAAATCAATATTACGTTGATTCGATCGTGTCAGTATATGTATAAAGGTAAACAGTATAAATGGTACATATCACAATATATTTATACTATAACATATATTATTCTATAATATAATATATATTATATTACGCGGAAATATATATTATTTATTTTTATAACATATACTGTCAAATCAATAAGCAGAATATGCATGAGATCCGCGTCGATATTAAATATAAAAAAGATACTCCGTTCGTCTCAGATACCGTGTCTGCTCCGTTCGTCTCAGATACCGTGTCTGCTACACTGTAAACACTGTAAACACGGTAGTTTAATTAAATTTTTTTAAAAAAATATATAATTAAAATTTTTAAAATGAGATTAAAGTGTGTAATCATTTTCCAAAAAAAAAATGACATGGTATCTGGGACGGAGGGAGTATAATTTTTTAAAAAAAGAAAAAAAAAATGAAAAGAAACGGATGATTATTGGAAGTGTGGATGCAAAGGAAAAGCATTTTTTTTTTGCTTTGAACTTTAGATCATTCATGAATCATTGTATGTGCTTTTTATTTATTTATTTAAGAAATGCAGGACCAGAAAAGGATGTTTGTGTCTTATTATTGCAATATTGAGATTGAGGTATGGGTGGCAATATATATGAGTATGACCCAATTCAATGTATATTTCATAGATTTTCGCAAAAATAAACATGGCTCGAAAAATCGATTTGAACTTGGCATGAAAAATTTATGCTTGAATCTAAAAAAAAAAAAAATTGAAATTTTTTTGGGCCGTGCCCTACTCGACATGATGAGAAACCGGAAACCGGACTGTGTTCGGGTCTTTAGAGATTGGATTGTGTCTAACCCGACTTATTTTTAAGATTAAATATTTTTTTGAATAAATATTTTAATAAATATATTTAAAAAATAAATATTCTTTTTGATTGACTGTAAGAGTCTCATTTACCTTTTGTGTCATTATACTTAATATTAAAAATATTCCTATATCATTTTAATAATATTATAAAACACTAATAGAAGTATTTTTGTCATTTTTTATTGATTTCTTCTATATTTTCATATAATAATTAATAATCAAATATTAACACGCAAAAAGTAAATAAAATCTTAAAGCCGAATGAAAGTAGTATAAATTAAAAGTAAAAACATGGTCTAATAGTTGAATTTATGTTTTATTAGTTCTAGGTTATGGGTTTAATTTTCATATTTATCATAAATAATTTTATTAAATTATTTTAAATTTAAAAAAGTAACTTCAAATAAAATTATAATCCGAACTGGCCCGACCCGAAATTGTTTAGAGTCGGCCATACTCGAGCCTGGCTTTCAGGCCCGACCATAAACTGGGCCGGGCCTTCTCGACATGAATAAAAACAGACCAGGCCGGCCCGTCCCAAAATTGCCTAAGAATAAAAATAGGGTTTTAAATAGAAAATGTGTGTAGCTTTGTCGTTGCCTGCTTGGGATTTGTTTTTTTGATATCCTCCAAAAGGTCTCGTATTAATGGAGTTCACTTAGGACTTATAAGGTGTAGAATTTTTTTTACAATTTTCGATGTGGGACTTAGGTTTGCACCCCAATAATATTAATTAAAAATAAATAAATAATTTTTTTTATTTACTGTATTATATGATATTTTATTCTCTTTAAAATGAATATATTTTTTATTATGATATAATTTTTAAAATATTTAAATAAATATTCTAAAATTTTTAAATATATATTAAATTTATTTAAAAATAATACTCCCTTAATCCCACCTACTATATCTATATTTTCGTTTGTTTGTGTTCCGTCTCATATCTCAGATCATTTTTCCTTTTTTTAAAATGATTGCACATTTTAATTTTATTTTAAATTTTTTAATTTAATTTTTTTAATTTTAATTAAACTAATTAGTTATTTTAATTTTAATTTATAATTATTTATATTATAATTTAATTATTTTTACTAATATATTTTTAATTATTTATTAATTATAGTTATCCTACTGAATGAGTAATATTATTAATTATATAAAAAATAAAATTATAATTTATTATTATTAATTAATTAAATATTATTTTAAATATCATATTACAAACAAAAAGTATCACTAAATCGACAGAGGGAGTTAAAATAATACTTCATCCATCCCAATAAATATAATTTTAATTGGATTGGATACAAGATTTAAGAAATATTGAAATTATTGGTAGCAGGTAAAAAATATGGATAAAAAACTTTTTTACTCTTATGAATGTATTAGTGTAAAAAGTAGTGGCAATTATATAATAAAATTAAAAATGTACAAATAATTTTATGATGATATAATTTTTTATGAAAAAAAGTATAAAAATAATAAATAAAACTATTATATTAATACTAATGAAATATTTAAAAAATAATCGTTGTGAGAAGTTATTTGAAAAGGTAGCGATGACAATACTGTACGGCTACTACTGAAGGCATGTAACGTCTGTTTTTAAGACAGCAGACTCGCTCTGCACTCTGCAATAACCTTTTTAACCAACATTTACTTAATTTAATTTTATTTGGTCAGACCCATAACAAAGTATTCATTTTTTTATTTTAGTTCATCTTATAATAAAGTATTTATTTTTTTTAGTAATTGTATTATCTATTTAACATTATAAATATCCTTACAATTTATAATATATTACACAAATGTCATTACTGTGCAAAAAAATAAATTAATATTTAGTTCCGGAACGGAATGAGTATATATATTTGTGGAAGGATACAATGGTAATTACACTACCGTACAGACAAATCAAACTGTCAAAATGAATTGTCGAGACCGACTGGACGGACTAAGATTTTTAAAATATATTTAGGGTGTGTTTGTTTGGGGATTGGATTTTAAATCAACTATTTATTTTATTTGTTTTTTGAAAATATCAAATCAAATATTTATTTTTTATTTTTTATATTATACTAAAAATCAATGTTACATTAAAATATTTAAATTTATATCACATCATACTGCTATTTAAATTTAAAATTTTTACTATTTAAATCCCAATTCAAAATTCAGTCCCCTGCACAAACACGCCCAAAAACTACATGTGTCATCCTATTTTAAACTAATTTTTAAATATTTTTGTTCTTTTTAATCAAAAGTATTTTTTTTTAATATAATAAAAATATTTTATACCCGAATAGCAACATGTTCATACTTTTATAAGAATTACAAAAATATTATTTCTTTCGTTCTATATAAATAGTAACACTCGATTTTTTTACGTAAATTTTTTAATATTACTATTATATTGAATTGTAATAAAAAAGACGAAAATACTTTTATTAGTATCGTGTATATGAAGGTGGTGACATTTATGTAATATATTATAAGTTTGAAGGATATTTAATATACTAGGTAGGTAGTACAATTACTAAATTATACAGAGAGAGAGAATACAATTTTTTACATACTCCCTCCGTTCCGCAAGAAAATTGTCATTTGATTTTTGCGTCATTGTACTTAACATTAAATATATCATTATATTTGAATAATTTACTCAAAAAATATCATTATATTTATATAATAAGAGACTTATAAACTTTTTTTTTTTTTTTTCTCTTCATTTCTATGGCTTATTGATATAATAATTAATATTAAAAAATGCGGGACGGAGGGAGTATATTACTTTAAATTCTTACTTCCTCGATCCTACCTAATATGTCCACATTGCTGTTTACGTATGTTCACATCTTATGTCACTTTTTTGTTTCGAAAAATAATTACATACTTTAATTTCATTTAAATTTTAATAATTTATTTTTGAAAAAATTTTAGTTAAAATAATTAGTTATCTTAATTTTAATTTATAATTATTTATATTATTAAATAATTATTTTCACTAATATTTTTTTAATTATCTATTAATTATATTTATCATAAAATTTTCTCAACTATAATTCATAGGAGAATTTATAATTATTATTATTATTATAAAAATAAATATAAAAATAAAAATAAAAGGACAAAATATAGAAAGAAAGGACAAGAGAGCGGGGTAAGGTGAAATTGAAGGAGGCAAAGGGAATATTGAAAATGGGTTTTTGTTTTTCACCTTTCTCTTTCTTTCAATTTCAAATCCAAATCCAAATCCAAACTCCAATAAATTTCCTCTTCCTCTTTCCTGTTCTTCGATCTTTCTCCTTCCCTAATTGATAATGGAATCTCCATAGCTGCTGCTCTGACCTCAATGTGTTTTATAGATCGATAGCGACGAAGATCGAAGTGATGAAGGAAGGAAGGTGAGTTTGTGTGGAATTAACTGCTGCAGTGTGCGTAAGTGAAGTAACTCGTAGTTAGTTAGGGTGATCGATCAGGCTGGGGAATGCGCTACTAGTACAGTCGTTGTTTCTGTGCTTCAACAATGGCGGAATACTAATTATTATCATTATTATTATGATAATTGAATTGTGTATGTTTTT